CTGACTACCTGGGCAATCACCCAAAGTCTCGTTTGCAACGTTGAGTCAACCAATTTTGGCTAAGGCCTAACATAACTGACATACCATTATTAAAGGCAAGGAACTTTTCAAAACTATCTTACCCTGTCTTGGCAGGATATGACAGTCCTGTTTTATCCATTGATGCACGCTCTGTATCTGTGTCAGTTGTTGAGGTATGGGCATTTCTTTGCCCAAAGGCCAGTTCTGCCAAATAGAAAGGCTCCAGATGGAGTGTTTTTGGTGCTCAACATTCTCTCGGGAATAGAGCGGTGTTGCCAGGAGCAATTGTGTCTCACTATCACGAAACTCTGAGTTAGATTAAAGGCCATTTTCTACAGCTCTTTGAAGAGGTTGAAGATTATCTATCTATACTGAGTATAATCTCTATATATCTAAAGAACCTGATTAGTCTAATTATAAATGACAAACTTAGATGACAATTTGTCTATATAATTCTCAATATCTATCTAACTTAAAGACTAAGACAATAAACGACTGTGAAACAAATGAGGACAATGACCTCCAAATATAAACAATGTACAAATATACATTGCAGTAGGTAAATATATATCAATACACAAACATTATATAAGTATCTTAATCAGAGGTAGAAATGTACACTGCAATATGGTAAATATATACAATATATATATATATCAATACAATATATGTCAATACATAAAAATGTTTTAAACAGAGGTAGAAACATGCATGCGTACAATAGTCAATATAATTTAACTTTGTATCAATATACAAGAATCTATACCAATATATTTGTCTATTATCCCATCATCCCTCTTTTTTTTTCAAAATGATCCCTGAGCTTATAAAATTCCTCCCCCAACCCTCAATCATATACTAATTATAATCAACCCCTAAATGATGTCCCTAAACCCAAGGGCAAACTTTACTGGGAGAGGGGACGTCGTTCTCTAGAATTACTTCCAGCTGTCATAGGGGCGACGTTCTTTCTGGGGGATCCTGTGAAAGTAAAATGATGGTTAAATTTCAAGATAATGTCTTTTAAAATTGCAAATAGTCTCTGAGTATTTTCGTGCAGGTCTGGCCAAAATGTTGTATAAGATGTGCACCATTTCAGCTAACCAAGTTGGAACTGTCTTGTGCAGCTGGTACCCAAAGCAGGTCTTGTAGTAGCGCTATCAGTATCATGACGTCATATCAACCAGGTGGAGTTGTTGTTATGGGGCCCCATCTTCTTCCTGGAAACTTCAAATGTCACTTCAGGAAAAACTCATTGTTCATTATGAAAAACTTAAACATTAATCATATAGACATATATAGACATATATATATATATTCAATGAAAGACATGATAGATATATTCAATGAAAAGTATGATAGATATGAAGAAAAGCAAAGATGTTTTCTAAACTCATATTTCTTTCTGTCCCATATCATGGCTCTTGACATGAGACAGAAACTCCAGAAACTCTGGGTTTTGCTCTTACTAACAGGCTTGGAATTGGAGAGGGACTGAGCCAGAGTCCAACTTCAAAACCAGCTTTATAAATTTAGAAATATGGTTTAATATTACTTACACAACCCATTCAGTTTTCTTGATATTTCCTATTGGGCAGGTATTTTTCCATCTGTCAGTATCCAAACATCCAGGGTCCCTTGAATTTCTCAAAGATGAGTGTTTTCCTGTGGAGATAAGAACAGAACCCTGCCCCCATTCTATATGTTTTTCTTACCACCTGTATGAATATCATCGTTGTGGATGAGTTGTCATTTCTCCTTTCCAAGAGGTTTCTCCTCTTCAAATCGAAACTTTATTAATTTTGATGGTATCCACAATTTTTCTTCTCCTGTGGAAACAAGAGCAAAACCCCTTCCCCAACGTAGCACATCTCCTGGCTTCCACTGAGAGGTCAGCACATCTTTGAAATAAATCGGTTGATTTAGTTCAGCAGACTTTTCCATTATCCAATGTCTTTCTGCTGCTGTCCTTCCTTTCTCATTAGCGTTAAGAAAATTCAAGGTTAATAAAGCATTATGTAATCTATTTCTGGGGGTATTTTCAGTCCCTTTCTGTTTGTTCAGCATATCCTTTATAGTACGATTTGATCTTTCTATAACTGCCTGACCTGTAGGATTATTTGGTATACCTGTAATGTGTTTTATATTATAATAATCAAAAAAGCGTTTCATTTTCTTAGATACATATGCTGGACCATTATCTGTCTTTATTTGCGCAGGTATACCCATGATGGCCATAACTTCCAATAAATGTTTGATTACTGAATCAGCCTTTTCTGAGCTCAGGGCAGTAGCCCATTGAAAACCTGAATATGTGTCTATGGTGTGGTGTACATATTTTAATTTGCCAAATTCTGCAAAGTGGAACACATCCATCTGCCAGATTTCATTCCTTTGGGTGCCCTTTGGATTAGCCCCTGCAGGCAGTGGCATTTGGTTATAGAAAGAGCAAGTAGGGCATTTCTTTACAATCTACTTAGCTTGTTGCCATGTAATTGAAAACTCTTTCTTCAAACCTTTGCTATTAACATGATGTTTTTTATGAAATTCAGAGGCTTGTAGCACACTACCAATCAATAATTGATCAATTTCTGCATTACCTTGTGCTAGAGGACCTGGCAGACCCGTATGGGATCGGATGTGTGTTATGTACATAGGGCAAAGCCTGTTCCTGATCAAATCTTGAACCTGGAGGAACAATGAGGTTAGTTCAGTATCATCAGGTATAAATTCTGCAGTTTCAATATGTAAAATAACTCTTTCCGTGTATTGTGAATCTGTAACTATATTAATAGGTTCTTTAAAATCCCTTAGCACCATAAGAATGGCATATAATTCTGCCTTCTGGACAGAATTATACGGACTTTGTTCCACCTTATCCAAGTCTTCTGATTTGTAACCTGCCTTCCCTGATTTATTGGCATCAGTATAGAATGTACGGGCTCCAGTTATTGGAGCATCACAGACGATTCGAGGAAGAATCCAAGAGGTTCTCTTTATGAAGTTAAGCCTCTTGCTTTTTGGATAGTTGTTATTAATGTCTCCCAAAAAATTAGCACAAGCTCTTTGCCATGGTTCATTATCTTCCCATAATTTCTTTAGTTCATCAGCAGTGAAAGGCACTATAATTTCTGCTGGGTCTATGCCTGCTAGTTGACGAAGTCTCAGCTTGCCTTTTATAATTAACTCAGAGACTTTTTCCACATAAGTTTTCAGTTTCTTACTTGGTTTATGTGGTAAAAAGATCCATTCCAAAATAATATCATCTCTCTGCATTAAAATTCCTGTAGGAGAAATTTTTGATGGTAGTATGACGAGAATACAATCGAGCTCTGGATTCACCCTGTCCACATGTGCCTGTTGTAATTTTTCCTCAATCATTGTCAGTTCCTTTTCTGCTTCAGCTGTTAATTCTCTGGGACTGTTTAAATCTTTATCACCATCCAAGGTTTTGTTCAAATGAATTATTAGATCAGGTGTTATTCTAATAGCTGGTCGTAGACTGGAAATATCTCCTAACAGCCTTTGAAAGTCATTAAGAGTCCGTAGGCGATCTCTCCTAATTTGTGCTTTTTGTGTCTTAATTTTTTGCAAACCTATTTTATAACCTAAATAATTAACAGAATCTCCCTTCTGAATCTTTTCAGGAGCTAATTGCAATCCCCATTTAGGTAAAAGTATCTTTATTTCTTCAAACAGTCTATTCAAGGTATCCATGTTTGAATCGGATAACAAGATGTCGTCCATGTAATGGTATTCTATAGATTTGGGAAATTTCTTGCATATTATTTGCAATGGTTGGTTCACAAAATATTGGCACAAGGAGGGGCTATTTAACATACCCTGGGGGAGAACGGTCCAGTGGTACCTCCTCGAAGGTTGAGAATTGTTATAAGTAGGCACTGTGAAGGCAAATTTTTCTCTATCTTCTTTTTGCAAAGGTATAGTGAAAAAACAATCCTTTAAATCAATAACTATGAGAGGCCATCCTTTCTTTTAGCTTGTGATGTTCTAATGGAATGGACTCTGACTTCTGCCACAAGCTCTCCAAAGAGCCAAGGAACTATAGTGTTTCAGGATGGTGAGGTCTTGGTTAAACAGACACACTTCGGGTCAAAGGAGACTGAGGCAGTCCTTGCTAAACAGTAAAGATGACTGTCCTTTCTCAACAGACCCGGGACAGGTGTCATTGAATTTGATGCCATTTTAGTTTTCTATGCAGTGTTCCAGGGAGGCGAAGGAAAGCCTTTGTGTTTGTCTGTGACTTTAGCCGAGAAGGGGAGTCTAGTACCTTTTCTGTGTTGCCTTGAATTCTCAGGGGATTGAGGAACTTGGTCTGCAGAGGCAATAGTGTGATGAGGAGATAGGTCAGGTCAGCATAGCAAGGAGTCCGGGACCACCAGCAGTTAAGATAATGATTCTGAGTGAGAACTGAGGGTACAACCTCCCTCCCTCCCTTACTAGGACTGCTTCCTTTCCCATGCTGTCAGCTTGTAGATTCCCTGAGGGATGTGGTACATCATCTCCTCTATCTTAGTGATCTCAAAGCATTGCTCAGAGGAACAAACCATTGCCAGATGTAGGGCCCATGGGTCTACCCCTGCTCCCGGGCTTCATTTTGAGGACAGTTTCTGGTCAGTCAGCTAAAACATCCTGTTTGTTCATGTGCTCCCTCTGCCCTGCCTGGTAATTAGCTATAGGGCATTGTTGACTCCACCTTGGGCGTGGTAATTTCCCACCTGCCTGGGGAGCATTCCATTGTGCAGTAGGTAGGTATTTAAGGTTTTCCCTAAATTTGAATAAATGGCGTTCAGCTGACCTCCTTTCGAATGACCTAGGTCTCTTGTGTATTCTTTCATTCTCCAGCTCACTTACAGTAGGTACAGTGGTGTGTGAACTGTACCAAGGGTAACGCAGAAGCAGGTGTTACAGTTGGAGACCCATCAGTGAGATCGGGATGTAGGGGACCCCTGAGAGATCGCCCTGGGAATGCTGGCCAGCAGGTAAGAAATTGATTGGTGAGTGTGAATTGAAAATGGGTGCAAGTAATTCTGTTCCAGTATTGACGGCCGATTAATGGGCCAGTTATTAGTTCTTTTAAAGAAGCAAGGCAAGGAAGGCACTGGTATTAAAACTAAACAGCACAAGAGTTCTTTAAGACAGTTTTCTTTTGTATAAGGTAGTTTATTGCCTAATTTTTTGAGAGAGTTTAGTCCCTGGTTTCTACAAGCAGGGGGCTTTCATATTTCTGATTGGGAGAAGGTAAAATTAAAAGAGCAATTAGAGTATTTGACCAAAACCTTTGAGGAGATTCAGGGTGTAGAATCTGTGAGTTCTATTAAGAGTTTTGAGGAACAGGAAGTTAAGAGTTATAAAAGGGATATAAAAGAGAAAAAAAGACACTTTAGAAAAGGAGATTGCACTGATAAGAAAGAAGTTAGTAAAAGAAGGAAGGCAGCCTGCCTTTTGGGAGGAGATTGTTGTGGAGAGGTGAAATGCAGGAGGATTGCGCTGATGTGGAGAGGTGAAATGCAGGAGGATTGCGCTGATGCGATGGCGTGGTTTTTTGCCAGTGCTGAGACCTTACTTAAAGGGCTCCAATTTGCTGGCAGACTTATTAATGACTGAGCAGGCTCAGCCTCCTTAAGGAGTGCTTATATGTACTGGAGCATCATCTTCATGGTTTCATGGAGCTAGAGCCAAAGGCAAGCTCAGGTCAATGTCGCCACTTGGTGAGTCCTCTTAGCTATTCCTCTGGAGGATCTTTCAGCACAAATCTGGCAGAACCCAGTGACAGTTGACTAGTGAGCCAATGATGGGAAAGGTTTTTGGGGGGCTTCCCAAACCAAGACAGGAAGTGTGTTTTGACCTGGTGCTTTCCCATGATGGGTAAGGAGTATTGCCTGACGTCCAATGCCACCTAAGACAGGCCTAGTCATATAATTTATATAAAATGGGGACCTGTAGGGCCCATGGGTCTATCCCTGCTCCTGGGTTTCATTTTGAGGACATTTTCTGGTCAGCCAGCTAAAATATCCTGTTAGTTTCTACGCTCCTTCTGCCCCTCCTGTTGACTAGCTATAGGGCATTGTTGACTCCACCTTGGGTGTGGTAATTTCCCACCTGCCTGGGGGGCATTCCATTGTGCAGCAGGTAGGTATTTAAGGTTTTCCTTAAATTTGAATAAACAGCATTCAGCTGATCTCCTTTTGAATAACCCAGGTCTCTTGTGTGTTCTTTCATGCTCCAGGCCCTTGCCCAGCTCGCATATGGTAGGTCCAGTGGCATGCAAACTGTACCGAGAGTAAAGCAGAAGCAGTTGTTACAGCCAGCAGAGGTATAACCCCAGGCTCTGAGGGTTCCGATTGAGAAAGGAGTACATCTCTTATTTAGGAGATGGAAACAAGAGTTTGGTGCTCTTGGATAGCATGTAGGAAAGGCCCTTGACAGATAATACTTAGGGTGGGGTTCCCTTATTTCTTCTTCTTTGTCTCGGGAATGTGAGGTGTTATCCTTAGGGGTTGTCTCAGTCCAACAGCTGAGTAGGTTCTAAAACCTTCTATAATAAAAGTAAACTCAAAGGGGGCCCTCCTGGAATTTGGGATTTCCAGCTGCATTGAGTACTTCAGGTTTTATGCAGTCTTCAGTGTGGGAGGTCCTCTCAGCTCATCTTCGAGAGCTGTCAATCAGAAATTGAGCTGAGGGTTCTGATGAGAGTCATCTCCCCTCAAATGACAACATAGAAAAGTCCCAGGGAGTCAAGTAGTCAAGGTGAGAAGCACACCCTGAATGGGCACCAAGGTCACTACCCAAAGCCCAGAACCAAGGGAGTTCCCAAAGTACCCAGACACATACCTCACTGTGGGGCCCTAGGATCTTCCAGTTGCCTATATGCTGAGGACCTTTCTCATATCCCTCTTCAGGTTCCAGTAGGACACACAACAAGGAAAGCAGCTGGCTAGCAGGGCTCTGAGACAATCACCTACAAAGAAGTTTTGTAAGTATACTTTTGTTAGATTCATGAGGGGGTGAGAATTTTTTAGCTGGGCCACTCACAATACTTTTCCCTCTCCCTACTCACCCACTGTCCTGCTTTATACTCCAGCCTACCATCTCCAGCCAGATTCATCATGTCATACTATCCACACTTCAGCCTCTGGAAAGTTTTCCAGGATGCTTTTGAAATATATAGATTAGCTGAGGAGGAGGAGGAGGAGGAGGAAGAAATGGAAGAGAAGGAGGTGGAGGAAGAAGAGGAAGAAACGGAAGAGGATGAGGAGGAAGAGGAAGAAATGGAAGAGGAGGAGGAGGAAGAGGAGGAGGAGGAAGAGGAAGAAGAGGAGGAAGAGGATGAAAAGGAAGAGGAGGACGACGAAGATGAGGCCGAGGAGGCAGGGGCAGCCACTTATAGCGACAGCATCTTGTCTACATCATCTGCCTCTTTAAGATTCACTTTGCCCTCCTTCTGTGCTTCCTCACCTTCCGCTTCCTTATCACATCCTCTGTTTTGGAGCAATCCTGATGAGGCAGAAGAGTCTGCTACCTGAATGCTGAGTATTTCACAGAGTTACCAGAGCTCTTACTCCTTTACTTCATATATCAACTTAGTTGAAGAATATGGCAGCCCAGAAAAAGAGCTTTTAAACACTTCGAAGTTGACAGACGAAGTTTCCGCATGGCAAAATCTCAAAAAGCAAAAGGTCACTGAACTGGTGAATCTCCTGCTCCTGAAATATAGAATGAAAGAACCTATCCAGGAAATGGAAATGCTCGGGTTTCTCACCAAAGACCACAAGAAACAATTCCCTGCCATCTTTGAGGAAGCTGCTAAGTGCTTAGAGATGATTTTTGGCGTTGATATAAAGGAAGATGATCCTGTAAGCAGCTCTTACGTGCTTACCAACACACTAAATCTCACATATGATGACAACAACAGGAGGTTGCCTAGAAATGTCTTCCTGATAGTTATTCTGGGTGTAATATTCATAGAGGGGGACTGTGCCTCTGAAGAAAGCATGTGGGAATTCCTGAATATGTTAGGAATATATGATGGGAAGGAGCATTTCATTTATGGGGAGCCCAGGGAGTTCCTCACTAGAGATTTAGTGCAGCAAAATTATCTGAAATATAGGCAGGTGCCCGAGAGTTATCCTCCACGTTATGTGTTCCTGTGGGGTCCAAGAGCCTACTCTGAAACCACCAAGATGAAAGTTCTTGAATTTTTGACCAAATTTACAAGGAGGGAACCAATGTATTTCTCATCTTTATATAATCAGGCATTGAGAGATGAGGGCTCCAGAAATGGCCCCATGGAGGATTAGTACCATTTTGATAACAACATGGGGCAACCCAATTACTGATTTTAAAAGGGACAGTCAAAATTTTAAGTAAGGGGGAGAATGTCAGTGTTAGTCTGGGCCATGCGGAGAACACACTATAGTGCAACTTTGTGTTCTGGTTTTAGATGATGATAATTGATTCATCTATTTTCTCTTTAGATGTTTTTTTTCAGTGCTCGTCTTCATAATTGAAAGTGTGGTCCATTTCCTTTGCAATGCAAGTTTTTGATTACTTACATCTGTTCTTGTACCAGATTTTGAGAAAATGTAGGGAAACTATTCAATGGTCAATCTTTGAGTTGCTTTAATACTTTTAGTCAGGCCGGGTGATGGTGGCGCATGCCTTTAATCCCAGCACTTGGGAGGCAGAGGCAGGCGGATCTCTGAGTTCGAGACCAGCCTGGTCTACAAGAGCTAGTTCTAGGACAGGCTCCAAAGCCACAGAGAAACCCTGTCTCGAAAAACCAAAAAAAAAAAAAAAACTTTTAGTCAGATCTGTAATGTGTTGGTTTGTTTAAGCAAACAGGAAAAATGGTAATAAAATTTTAAAATCTCTGCTTATTGATTCATTTATTTGCCAAACATCACTTGGATATATTTTTAAAGTTGTATTTATTTTATTTTTATGTGTATGAATATTTTGCCTGAATGCATGCGTGTTTATCACACGTGTCCCTGGTTACCCACAGAGGTCAGAAGAGAACTTCAACTTTCCTGAATCTGGAGTTTGTGGGTGCTGATAACCGAACCTAGTTCTTTGAAAAAATGCTCTTAATACCTGAGCCATCTTATAGTGCCAAGTTAGATTTTTTTTTGAGCATGCACAGTTATTAGGAGGAGTATGGGGATAAATAACCACATTCCCTTCCTAGAGATGGAATCTGGGGAGATGATTGGAAAGACATAATAAGCAAGAAGAAGTAAATTGGGCTGTGAGGTTTTATTTGTAAATAGCTCAAGTGCAAATGCCCTGAGCCAATGCCAGAGACCTAACTCTTAGTGAGTCTTTGAAAAGAGAAAAATCACAGGATCAAATTAAGTGGTTCTCTGGGGGTTCCAGCTGAAGCAGAGAGAAATCCCTGGCTGATACTTGTGTGGGAAGGCATCCTGGAGGTTCTGCCTTGCTCCATTGTCTGTATTAAGGAATTTTTGTTTATTTGTCTTGGATTTTGAGACAGGATCTCTAGACCAGGCTGGCCTTGAGCTGATCTTCCTGCCTTTACTCCGGAAGTGCTGAGATTAAAGGTGTGCACCACTATACCAGACTTCCATAGAGGTCCCCTGGTAAACCGGGCAAGAATACTTCCGATTGCTACCTAGAGACCACCAGGCGGCCATTCTTTCTTTTTGCCTGGGAGAGCCTGAGACAAGGTATTGTTGTTTGGTCAAATCTAACTAAGATCTAGGATCTGGTGGCAATGTGGCAATATAGTTTAGAAAATATATCCAGAGGATGAGCAGCTGGTAGGGGAGGACCATTTTTTTTTAATTCTAGGCTCTTCATATTTCTTCAGCCTGGGAAGAATGACTCACATCTAAGATAGTTTAGTTTTTAGAGAGAAAGTATCGTGACTTATTTGCAAATCTGTATTTTGGGCTGGTATTTATTGAATCTCCTGTTGAGCATATTTTCCCTCTGAATGAGTATGGGTGAGATCAAATTAATATTCAAGCTCAATTTGAATATTAATTTGTGTCAAAATAATAAAGATAGCATTCATTATATACACAATTATATGCAGACATTTGCCAGTTGTTTATTAGCCTAATTATTATAATGGTCCCACATGATATTAGTGTTGAAGTTAGCTCCATCAAGAGCCATCTTTGGAGTGCTTGGGAGTTACCCTCAAGATCAAGTGATCACATGGCTGGTGAGTGGCAAGACTGGACAGGAGTTCATCTTGGGTCCACATTGTCCTCTTGCTTCCCAGCTGGCATTCTATTTATCTTCTTTTTATAGATAAGGCCTTATGTAGCACAGGCTGTCCTCAAAATTCAGATGTAGCTGAGGATGACTGAGTTTCTGATCTCCCTGCTTCCAGCTCCCAAATATTGGCATTGCAGATGTGAGCCACCTTGCTGTCTTATGCATTGCTAGGGATTGAAGCCAGGGCCTAGTGCACACTAGAAAAGCAGTCTCCTCTCTGAGATACATCACTGGCCCCTTAGTCTCCATTCCCAAATGTCCCCAGATGGCAATGAGGTTGTGTCAAAACAGTAAAGGGCTTGGGAAAACATACTGTATAGCAACTTGTGGGTCATATTCACATATTGGGGGTCATATTTTATCTTCTTGTCTTTCCCCCAAATGTTTCTTGTAATTGAATAGTGGCTTAGCATATACTTGTTTGATTGGGTTTGGGTTTGGCTTTTTAAATTAGGGTTTTCTAGCATAGCGCTAGCTTGTCTGTAACATTCTACTTCTCCATCCTGAGCACTGGCGTTACAGGTGCTTTACAACGTCGAGTCAAACATTTTTTTTTAATAACACTAGCCACATGCTGGTTGACATTTTCTTTTTTCAGGCTTAAGGATAAAGTTTTAGGCTGGGAGGTGGTGGTGCACATTTTAAATACTAGCACTTGTTAGGCAGAGGCAACAGATGAATCTCTGAGATCAAGGCCAGCCTGATCTACAGAATGAGTTCAGGACAGCCAGGGCTACACAGATACACCCTGTCTAGAAAAAAACAAAACAAAACAAAAACTAGTACTTTTCAAGTCAAATTGGGAACTCCAATATGTGTGTGAGTATGTGTTTGTGTATGTGAGAGAGGCAGAGATGCTGATTGGGGAGATCAAGGGAGGAGGGAGAGAGGACTGGGAGAGATAACTGGAATTGGGGGTATTTCATGGGCAAAATAGAAACCCAGTGCAATGGAAACTCCCAGGAATCTATGAGCGTGACTCCTTGAAATGGGAGTCACTCCTTGAAAGGGGGTACAGAGGCTGAACTGGCCATTTCTTACAACCTGGCAAGGCTTTTGGTGATGGGACTGGAACACAAACCCAGCCACAAAACCTTCAACCTACAGTTTTTCCTGTTTGCTGGGGCAAAAGAGGCACAGAAATTGTGTAAGTGGCCATTCAATGGCTGGTCCAGTATGAGACCCATGCCATGATTGGGAACCTATGTCTGACACTGCGGAGGACCAGGAACCAGTGACTAGATATCCCAATAGCCCAGAAACCCAAGATAGAACCAAACACGCCCAGCAAAAAAAAGTCAATGAAATGATTCCTTATGATATTCTGCTATAGCATAATATATTCTGCCTAGCATAATCATCAGAGAGGCTCCATCCAGCAACTGATGAAAACAGATGCAGAGACCCACAGCCAAACACTAGACAGAGCTTGGGGAAAATCTATTGAAGATGGGGAGGAAGGATTGGAGGAGCCAGAGGGGTCAAGGACAGCACAAGAAAACCCACAGAATCAACCAGCCTGGGCTCTTGGGGGCTTACAGATACTGAACCTCCAACCAGGGAGCCTGTAGGGTTCTGACATAGGTCCTCTGCATATGTAACGATTGTAGAGCTTGGTCTTCTTGTGGGACTCCTGATAGTCAGAGCCCAACTGTCTCAGAAGCTTTTGCCTCCTTTGAGGACCCCACTCCTCATACTGGGTTACCTTGTCCAGCCTTAGTATAAGAGGATGTGCTTAGTTTTGCTGCACCTTGATATGCCATGTTTAGTTGATGTCCCTGGGAAGCCCGCCCTTTTCTGAAAAGAAACAGGAGGAGTAGATGGGGAGTGGGTGTTGGAGGAAGGGACTGGAAGGAGAGGAAAGAGGGGAAACTGCAGTTGGGATGTAATATCTGAGAGAATAAATTTTAAAAATGAAACTTCTTAGTGTATTGGTTTTTTTTTTCTGTTTCTTTGACCAGATACTGTACAGAAAGCAATGTAAGAGAGAAACAATTTATGGTGGCTTAAGATTTAGGGGGTGGAGGGCATCAGGGCAGGGAAGGCTGGGTAGCAGGTGAGGTTTCCAGCTGTGGTGACAGGAATTTGCCTGATGTGGGAGAGTCTTCTGTTTTGTGTTAATTTCATTGATTAAATAAAGAGACTGCCTTAGCCCTTTAATAGGACAGAAAATTAGGTAGGTGGAGTAAACAGAATAGGATGCTGGGAGAAAGAAGCCCAGTCAGAGAGTCGCCATGATTCTTCGCTCCAGACGGATGCAGGTTAAGATCTTTCCTGGTAAGCCAGTTCGTGGTGCTACACAGAATATTAGAAATGGGTTAGATCAATATGTAAGAGCTAGCCAATAAGAGGCTGGAACGAATGGGCCAGGCAGTGTTTAAAAGAATACAGTTTCCGTGTAATTATTTCGGGAAAAGCTAGCCGTGTGGGCAGCCGGGCACAAGGAACGTAGCCCGCTGCTCCCAATACAACATTTTCCTTAGTGGACCAAGAAGCAGGGAAAGGAATGTGCCGGCCTCCTTTTGACTGCCTTCTTTCCCCCTTTTAACTGTCTTCATTCCCCCTTTTAATTCAGGATTTGGAATGTTTATGCACTCTTCCATGATATTATAAAACTTCCCTAAAATTATCTGTATCTGTCTCCTCCCCATGTTTTCTTCTGATGCCCCTGCCTGAGGTATTGGTATTTACCTTTACTTTCTTTACTCGATATTCTTAACTTTGTATACAGGTGCATGTGTGTGTGTCCACACACGAGTGTATGTACACACACACACACACACACACACACACACACATTTTCAGTCTCACATCTGTGATGCAGGTTGTTTTAAGACTCTAGTCATGGCATCAGTGTTGTCCAAGATGAAGCTCACAATCAGATAATTGCTCTGATTATCTAGTGAGTCTGCTTTAGGCAGTGACTCTAATGTCTCTCTTATAAACTCTTTACCTAATGAGTGTTTTTTCACTTAGTGCCTTGTGTGTTTGCGTGATCATCTGATCAATATAACAGAGCCCCGTGTCTTAGAAGACAACAAGCAGATTCTGCTCGGGATAGTGAGAAACACAAAATTGGTGCTTCCCTTTCAGTTCTGTTTTTCTCAGCTTCTGTCTA